ATGAAATCATACCGAAGCTGTTTAGATTATACTTAGCATGCTAAGCATGTTGCTGATAAGAACGATGAGTTAATGAGATATCGAAATTTTTGATAAATTCCAACTTTCGACTTGAAAGTCATCGCAGATCTTTCTTAAGAGTGATTTCAGTACACCATATTTTCATCAGAAACTGCAGCACTGTCCAGTTAGATAACCCTTTGTAACGTCCTCTCAACTTAGAAAAGAAAAAAGAACATGACTTTGAGGAAAACGATCGTCAGCCGGGGATCACAGACACACAAGAAGATGGAAATGCGGCTTTTACGACTTCTCGCTGCTGCTCAATACGTTTATGGTGAATGGTAGTAGAAGATAGGAATAATCACGGATAGGTAGACTGTGCGAGAATTTCTGGAGCTTTAGAATGATGCTCTCCTTTAAGCTGTGATCCCCTCCCCAACGGGGATGTTAATGGGCGGCGGCCCAGGCGTTCCCCAAGCTTCGCCGCTTTTCCTTGCAGGGGTACTTAGCACCCCCAAGGGTTCTTCGCACCTTTTAAACGGCTCCGCCCACTTGCTCCGCCCACTAGGTAGCCTTATTCCGAGTTGTGCAGGGTTGGAGAATAGTCTCAATGTGTTCTGTTGAATGGATGAATAATGACGGATAGCAGGTGACAGATGAGAAGTTATGAAGTCTAGTGTGGGCATCGCTTTCTCGGAAGCAAAGATACTTCCGTTTTCTTGATTTTCAGCCAGAGAATGTGTATATATGTACGTCTGATGTGACAACATATCCATTAAGCAAGTTGCACGAGTGCAATTTTTGATTTAGTTCCAACTTTTTTGGATTTTTCGGACGGTTGGATTTTCTAGTTTTTTTCCACAACTTCTCGTGGATCAAATTTTTTGCAACTTTTCAAAACACTAAGTTGTAGAGCTTGATGTGCTCTATCGAATCAAAACCACAGGATCTATTCAAAATAAGCGAAATTTGACTTATTGCGGTTTAGACCAGTTTTGAAGCAAGATCTTGACTTATTAACCAAATAATTTAAGCTTGTCATCACTTTCAACAAATTTTTCATGGAATTTGAATGCGTTTTCAATATTGAAATTTCCTTTTTGCTTGATTTCATGTTCTGGTGCTTTCCATGATGATGAATGGCTAAAAGGCTTTTTCGGAGACATTTGTTGATACTTTTGCCTAAAAAGGCAAAAGTATCAACAAATACCCTAACCTAAGGGTTGTTTCATACTGCCGCACTGACTGCAGCAGACTGCAGCTGACCGCAGTGACCGCACAATCGCTGCATCCTTTCGTAAAAGAGAAAATAGTTGCGAATACATCAAAACACCGTGATTTACGCTAGAAAGTTCATAGGTTCTAACTTTCTCTTCTCAATCAAATTTTGGTGATTGTTCTTCGATATGCTCATATTTGTTCAGGCTCCTTTTGTCATTGCATATACTTCTTTTACTGCTGGTCGTGTTATCTATTGGGACATATATTGTTAAGAGAATGTTTGAGCTACAACCATTGATCTTCTCCACCTTCATAAAAGGATGTAGCGATCTCTGCGGCCCCGCGGTCAATGCGGTCATCTGCAGTTTGCTGCAGTCATTGCGGCAGTCTGAAACAACCCTAAGTTCATGGCTTCTTCAGAAAAAGAAGTGGGTTTTGCGCTTCAAGATGGTTATCCCAATTCATCTTTTCATTGGCACCTCAGAGAAACAAGCTTTCAGAGACTGCACTGCGATTTCGTAATTTTGAGTCTGGTTGTAAATAGTGCCAAAGTAAAGGTTTCAAAGTGGCGATGGCTGTCCTCAAAAATTCTTTTTAACGTTCATAGCAATGCTCCGTACGCTTGGGAAGCTTTGATCTATGCAGAAACAAAAGCTGTGAAAAAATCCATTGCAGGGAATATCATCTTATCAACGCATTTTCTTCACAAAACACAGATTCGAACCAAAAATATACTCACTGCTTACCTGGAGTAAGGTTTTTTGGGGTTTCAAAGTTTCTTTGCTTCTAAAGTGCAATAATTAGGAGATTTGCCTCGCAAAATGACGATTTTTCATGAACTTTCGTTCCATGCCTATGCTATTCCCTCAGACCGCAGCCCTCGAATGAGCACCGTGAAGGAGTGGAGCGAGGGCGGTGTTTGACTTCTGCTACGCGTAGGTGCGAGAAGCCTTCTGGAGTGTGAATGCTGGTGCGAATGGAGGTGCTAGAAACTCCTGCGTCCCTTGTTAATGCATGCGGCCCTAAGGGTATTGCACATTCCAAGAGCAGCGAGATATGACACGTACCTTCCCAACTCCCCTCTCCTCCTCAGCGGGATTTCCTGCATATGGGCTTAGTTTATAGTCTCAAAGTTCGCAGCAACGTTACATCAAAGCATCAGGTTTTGCTCCCCAACTTTTTAGCGATATTAAATCTTTTCCTTCTTTTTGTTTAGAAGAAATTTGGCAAAAAAATGCATGTAGTAAGACCTCCTTTTCAGACCGTGTATCTGCAATGGAAATTTAGAATTATGCGGCAAAACAACCCGCGTGCGCCATGTGTCCCGTGGGAGCCGACCGTAACTCGAAGGCAGTGTCTTGGCAGATTTGCGTCCTGTGGGATACAGCCGTGGTGGAGTTTCTGGTCACCCCATTGACCTACAGGCTCAGCAAGGCTCGTTGATATTACCCCTACGCGGAGAAAACAACCCGAGCCGGCGCGCGCGTGTAGGACGATTCGCACGACTGTACTACCACAAGGACCGCTGACGCGCGCGACGCACCTGCGGCGACCTTTGCCTAAGCAAAGCAGAGGGAAGAAAGATTTGCGGCGTGCATGACGTCTTAAGACAAGTCAAAATCAAGGTAGCGCTGGAGAGACCACCCTGTGAAAAGACCGTCTCGGCGCAGGGTGGAGGAACGAACCTCTCAACCAGGCACCGCCTCCGCTGACTACTGGACCCAACATGATGCACAACAGTAGACGAAAGGACCAGCAGTTCGCGGAGGAGGTGTCTAGTTGAGGTGTTCGTTCTCTACCCCACGGCGCGCGCTCGGACAGCTTCTTCCCTGTTCGCGGGACCCCACGACCACCCCTTTCATTGTGCATGCTATCCAGTGCAAAAATTACAGACGAAGGAGTTTTTTTGTCAGGATCGTTTGAGCTCTCTCTTTCTGTGCTTGCTGCAAAATGGGTAAACTCTCCGATAACGCAATTTATACCCATTTTATCCTCAAATTTGGGTCCTGCATATCGAAAAGGCCTGAGACATGCAGAAAGGTGGAAACAGGGTTGAGCGTGGGGTCAGGCGCGCCCGACCTGGGGGGTCGTACTGGGGTAAGGCAGAGGGGGGGGGTCGTGATTAGGAATCGAATTCGTTCGATTGAGGAGATACTACGATTAAGGTGAAGAAGAAAAGCGCTAGTTTAGTGGATATCGCGACCTCACCAGTACTGAAGGAATGAACGGTCTTAAACAGCATACTGATTGATTCCACAATCGAAGTTTCGGCCAAAACTCAAATCTTCATCTTCTACCTTGAAAATTCATCAACGAAGCTTGCTGTGTGAAATGGGTATCATTTCCGAGCACGTCAAATTACCTCTATGAGCCCTACAAACCATTATTTACTGCATTATCTAGTGTTTCTCAACGACTAAAAAGCGTGATTTTCAAACATGATTAACTTGTTTTCAAAAGTGAGAAAAGTCAATTTTTTTGTACTCGTAACAAAGTATTGTTCCCTACTAGTCTAGGCTAAAAATCGCGCTTTGTATCGCTTGCAAATAGTGGAGTAAGAAATAATGCCAAAATTCCGACCGGCGCGTTTTTCTCCATGACTGCTTCAACTCCAAGGATTACCACAGAGCCGAAACAAGTCGAATCAAGTCCAAACACTTACTGTGGAATCTTCGAGGGTTGTGCTAGCGATTCACATAAAACTTGAATAAAAAAGCTTCTTCAATGATAAAGTTAATCGGGTCAGGCGCAACCCCATAAAAGGTCAGGCCGCCTGAGCTTTTGAGGGGTTGCGCCTGACCCGATTAACTTGTTTTCAAAATCTAAAAATCGCTCCATTTCTGCTATGAGTACTGAACTCAAAGCCTCTTCTTGCAATACTGCAAATTTGGAGCCAAACAATACACCCCTGTGGGAATTATAGCTCTAAAAGTAGGACTATCCAAAATCCAAAACTTGCCGTCAAGTTGCGTGTGCTGTGCAATCGCAGAAAGTCGACCTACAGACCTCCAAAAACAAGAACCTCCCAAAAACGGCTGATCTCTTCGAATTATCACAGCCTGAGGTCCTGGAGGTGAAGCAGAGGGGTCGTTTGGGGGCTTTCACTGGGGGGGGGGTCGTTTTGGAAAGACTTGTGCCTGACCTCTTGCTCAACCCTGGGTGGAAATCGAATACTTGCCGGAACACTGGCAGGAAGATGGAAATCGAAAATTTGCCGAGACACTGCCTCTAAAAAGGAATGCATTCGTTGAAGTAGCCTCTCGCAACAAGACGTATATCACCTGAGAGTTCCTAGAACGCTAATTACAAATTTCTTTTCATATCTTCACGAGTCAAGGAACAAAGTTGGAGACATTTTCTCCCATCGGATACATAGTGCGGATGTTTTTGGATGGCGATGCCGCTATAAATGCGAAAGCTGTCTGAAGTTGCATTCAAGTTGTCTGTTATACTTTCTGCATTTGGAACAAGGAAAGGCAAAGGTCCACTTGACTAATTTGGTCTCACCTTAAATCCCCAAGCCTAAAGTTATTTGAGCACAAACAAGCCTGTAACAAACACCTTTTCAAGCGTTTACTAAGTATGGAAGACCATTTCGTGACCAGCATTTTAGGAATTTCGCTTATAGGGAGAGACCATATTTAGCCGAATTTTACTTGTTAGCTTCTACGACATTAATCCGTTTTGATGACGCTTCTAAATGATTTTGCTTTACTTTCCGCAAGTGTTCTCGCATAACAACCATTTGGCAGTTTTCATCATGTAAATCCATTCAGGGGGACGCCAAGTGTAAGGAAGCTACTAGCCTCCAATCAATTTTGATTGAAATAGGGGATGAATGTGAATGGTGAGATTTTGTATTATTTCTCTTTTTATCAACATATGTAAATGGTAGCTTTGACGAATAATACATCGCCTTTGTACTGATGATGAACTTGAGCGGAAACCAACGCTATGCTTGTTTTGATTGCGATTCGGCACAAATAGCTATGAGGCACACATAGTCATCTTTAGGCACAAATGTTGTCTGCGACAAACAGATGTGATTTTAATAGGCTACAGTTTGGAGAATGTAAAAGAATTTCTTTATCAACGTCAACAATGTGTCTCTCTTTTTTAATGCTGTTAATCAAGTGCGTATTTACCTTTTCCCAATATGTTGCGGAATGGCACACGTACCCAAGCTATCAGGTAAAGTTTACTGTCCGACCAAGGCAATTGCCCCAGCGAAAAGAGACACGAAGGTGCGCTTTTGCGTCTTTGCTTCGGGAAACAAGTGATTGAACCGCGTCTGTGTTCACTTTGTTTGTACGAATCGATTCCATTCGGTAGTTGAACTCATAGAATTATTTGCAATTTCACTTGTGCGGTTCTCTGAGCACGGCACTCCACGGTATCGGGTCTTTCCAAAACATTCCGTTCAAGCATTTGCCTGTTTAATAGTATTCGTAGTATTGTAACCATTCGTGCTTTTAAGGCGATTACCAGTTCTTTAAAGCCCATGAAAGTCAAGAGGAAAGTTCCTGAAGAAGTTTTTCCTAAGGTTTCGGTTATGTAGTCGATTCGTTGACCGCATGGACTGGATATCACTGCGGAGCACGCGCTGCGAGGTAAAACGCTCGCTCCAGTATAAAATCGCCATTGTACAAATCGTGCTCGTGCAACATTAGCCCGCCGCGCATAATCCGCAGCGTTTCAGCAGTCCGTCCATTCAACGAATCGACGATACGTCCTGCGATTTCGGTCGCTGCGCTATCTTTGTTGCGACGTGTTCATAATTTCACCGCAAGCACTATGTAAGACAGACTTGGCATGTTTGGATCAACTCACGAATGCTACAATACCGCCCCCGATTCCTGAAAAAACGGCGCACAGTCGCCCAATTCATGTGACAACACCGTGCGTCATCTCGCTCCAAAGTGGACGTCTTAATTCAAGGGCACCCTTCGACATTTGACACAGCTCGGCGCGGCGCATCTTTTGATAACTGAAAGTGCCACTTTGAGTTACGCAGTATGCCTTATGCCTTATTCATTGCTCTCACTGAGCAACCTACTGTATGCAAAAATCCGGAAGGATTCGTAGAATCTGGCCTCCTACTGTGTCCAAACAGGCGCTTCATATATCAGAAGATGCGCCTAGCCGAGCTGAGTCGAAGTGCCCTTGGATTAGGAATTCCACCTGAAGCGAGATATGGCCACGCTACGGTGATGTCACATCAATCAGGCAATTGTGCTCGTTTTTTATTTATTTATTTATTTATTTATTTATTACATGGGGAGATCCCATGTCTCACATAACAAACAAAGAACATCAAAAACAAAAGAATGCATATACGAAGGTTGTAAAGAAAACAACAGCTTAAAACCCATATGTTAGTCACAACATACTCTGTCGGACTGCAGATAATCTTTTAAAATGCGCTTAAAAGAAGATAGCTTCGCAGGAAAAGATCGAATTCTTATGAGCCTAGCCATATCACGAATAACACGACATGTAAAGAAACTTCGCCTGACCCTAAGTCTGGACCTGGGGATAATTAGTTTTCTTGAACCGCCTCTAGTATTAGATTGTCTGGTAGGAAAGAAATTTTCAAAAATTACGAACGGTATTTATGCGCCTAGGTATTTGAGACCCGCCCGCGGTGGATTTGTAGACAGCTGAAAAATTGCTGAATTGCGTGACGATGGCGATTTGGCGAAATCACTCGAAGTGTGATCAGTGTCTGAGGCTTCTCCATGGTTGCATCGTTTTTCCTTTCTTTTTCCGGAAAAAAAGTCAGAAAAGCGCGATTTTTCCGTTGACCATGAGATGAGCTCTACTCCAGCACTATGGAAGCTTTTAGAGAACACCGGACAAAGTGCTTTGGCTTACTAACTGTTTGAGGCCTTCACTTGCAAATTTAATACTTTTGTACAGGATTACTAAAAGTTCAGCGAAAGTGGGGCTCCTCGCCGTGAAGCGCTTCGACTAGAGACTGTGAGAAAGGGCGAACAGCGTCTGAAACAAACTGTGGTGAGGCGTATACCTGGAAACAGGGTTTAATATTGACGCGGTCCATCTGTATCTCTTATGAGGTTGCGCTATTGTAAGTTTTGCGGAAGTAGATACACCACCTACATAAACTCATTTACAAACTGAATGTAATAATGGAAATTTGCTTTCAATATAAATTTCTGTGCATCAAAACCCTCATTTGAACGACTATTACAGGATGAGGCTTTGCTTCGATGATAAGGCTAATGAGTTCTGTGAAGACGATGCAAATACGCTTTCACTGATTTTCAATCACGAAGTCTACATTCCAACAGACTCCGGTAATGTCTCATTGGTGTACATAACGACTGGGGAACTTTCCCGTCGAAAATAGATTTCTAATACATAAAATAACAGTGGCCAAAAACGGAGAGTTTCCTCCACATTGTATTGCTATCCTGACTGTATCAGTATTCTGTCACAAAAGCTTGAAAGAGATTCTAAGAAGCAAAGGGTTGGCTTCTAGTTGTTACTCACTTTTTTGATCCGACTCGCAGTGAAAAAGCTGAACAGCGATTTTGAAAGAAGCTTTTGACTATAGTTGATTCGTTGACGGCACCTACAGGACAACACTGCGGAGCACGCGCCGCGAGGTCAAACGCTTGTCCCAGTTCAAATTCGCCATTGTATAGGTCGTGCTTTCGCGACAATTCAGCAGCGCCGCGTGTGGCCCGCAGCGTTAGAGCAGTCCGTGCGGTCAACAAATCGACGATACATCTCAGCTTGCCCACCTACTCCAGTCAAAGCCATGTTTATAGTACTGCGTTTTATTTTGGAGAAGAGAAATTACTGCTGTAAGCAGTCTTCTTCCTCAGACTATGCTCTATTTGAAATATCTTGGATTCGCAGACGGATTGTCGCAATGATACTTTTTTCACATACCATTTTTTGACATTAGGCTGCTGAAATCTGTATGCACTGGAGCTGGAGCCCAGTCCTGTAGAAGTACCAAATTAATATGTTGGCGCTATTCCAGTATACCGACCCAAAAATTAAAAATCTCGGATTTCGCTCAAACTCTTTATAGGGGGGTTATTGGATCCGCTGATGCCGAATATCATATTGATTCCGTGCGATAGCGCCATTTTCCGGGGGTTACGGTGGGTATACGGTAGGAGGTCAAAATCACAGAATTCCCTGAAACTTGGTGGAGGGGGGTTATTTGACATGCTGAACACGAATATGATATCCATTCGTTACGGTAGCACCTCATTCCGGGGTTACGGTGGGTATACGGTAAGGGGTCAGAATCACGATATCCGCTGAAGCTTCGGGTATGGGGGTTATTTGACATGCTGATCACGATTATGATGTTTATTAGTTACGATAGTGCCTCATTCCGACGTTACGTTGGATATACATTACCAATACCACCGCTAGATCGAGATTCAGGGCTTGAAATCTCAGTCACACGTCGGAAATTTCCTCCCCCTGCTTTGCTTAGGCAAAAGCCGCCGCAGGGTGTATCGCGCGCGGCGGTGGGTGTGGAAAGCAGTGAATGAGACCCTCTTACAGTATACCCACCGTAACCCCGGAATGAGGTGCTACCGTAACGAATGGATATCATATTCGTGTTCGGCATGTCAAATAACCCCCCTCCACCAAGTTTCAGAGAATTTTGTGATTTTGACATCCTACCGTATACCCACCGTAACCCCCGGAAAATGGCGCTATCGCACGGAATTAATATGATATTCGGCATCAGCGGATCGAATAACCCCCCCCCCTATACCGAGTTTGAGCGAAATCCGAGATTTTTAATTTTTGGGGTCGGCATACTGGAATAGTACCAATATGTTTTCGGTTTTGATATGCATAGCTTACCTTACGAACAAAAATGTAAACGACATACGACATACGTTATTGACACCCTGAAATTACTTGATGTTCTTTTCCGCTCTGGCCCAATCCTCTTGCTGCTGTCTGACTGCTTACCATAACCAGAAAGGCAGCATTACATCAAAAGCTGATATGCGTCGAACTGGGCTGAGTGCCTCCCTTTTTGGAATGCATCCCCATTGAGCCTACAACGATTCAAGGGCATTTCGCAGAATTTGACAACGCGCATCTTTTCAGAAGCACTTCATTTTGATAAAATTTGTCCAAATCTCCTACGATGTAATATGAAGCAGGTTTTTCCTGAGAATTTTTCATAAGTTAACAGTATTATATTATTGGTTGCTAAAGTTTCACATTTACTGCTTTTGCCACAAAAGGTGCTTGATTTGGGACGTTGTGCCATCATTTGTTCCAGTCAATTAGCATAGCAAAGCATACGTACATGAATGCTTACGTTTTCAAATGCATTTATTGCAGAAAACGCGCGGGCATTCGCAATTCCTTTTGAAGATCTAAAGGTGATTCGTATCAACTTTATCGTTGGATACCCAGGGGTAGGTTTGGTGATTGAGTGATCTTCAAGGCAAAGCAAGGGCTGTGTACAGAACTACGTGAATTCGTGCTCAGCGAAGTGTCAAAGTGTGTAAAAGTGATTTTAGAAAATAAAATAGTTGTATGATGCCAAATTGTCTCAGTAGACGGATTCCTAGATCAAATCTGGGCAATTGTCACTACTGTAACAAGATCGTATTCAAATTTTCTTCCTAATCTGCGCTATCTTGACCTCACCTTCAAGACTAGAATCCCTTCTATATCTTCTAAAGCTATGCGTTTCCTCGATCAATACACCAACCCTTCATCATTCTCAATGACGATGAGGGTTGCTGTACGAACGTTACATTTTGCAAAGTGATTGTCAGCGGCTGCTAATGTGTTCGCCGTCCAGACCGCCTGAACATAAGAAAAATAACC